GCTCCTTGGCGAGCGCTCAGTCCGCGCCGTGCACCCGGGCGCTGACTGCCTCTCTCCTTCTGGCCCTGCAGAGTCGGAGTGCCGGGGCGAGCCGGTGCGGGAGCACCCCCAGGTGCAGCGGGGCTATGCCATCTGCCAGACCACGCGCCCCGTCTCCTGGGTGGAGTGCCGGGGCTCCTGCCAGGGCCAGGGCTGCTGCACGGGGCTGCGCCTCAAGCGGAGGAAGTTCACCTTCGAATGCAGCGACGGCTCCTCCTTCGTGGAGGAGGTGGAGAAGGCCAGCAAGTGCGGCTGCGCCCGGTGCATGTAGCAGCCGGCGGCGGGAGGCGGCAGAGCCGGGGCCCGCCGAGGAGAACGCCGCTAGAGACAGAGGGGCGGAGCCGCTGGAGGCACCGCCCATGAGCCAGGACTCCCAAAGCCCGCGTCGCTGTCCGAGCAGGCCCCGCCCGGCCGCCCTGGAGCAGGGGCTGCCGCGAGCCACCACAGGACACCCGTGTAGAGAGGGAGGGTTTTTTAAAACTGCAGCTCCCCAAATGTATTTATAGTGGGTGGGGACACGGGGAGCAGGCCCAGCCCCCGCCCTGTGTTTGCTTTCTCCGCTTTGTACAGCCCCAGACCCGCTCTGGCCCACCCCCCGCTCCCAGCCTGCGTAAATTCCCGTGGGACGGGCTGCCAGGTCGGCCGAGGGACCGGGGGCCGGGGCGGGGGGGGGCTCTGAGCCTGCTGCCTTTGCCCCGGGGTGGCTGGACGCGCCTGGCTCAGCGGCCAGGCCAGTCCCGGCGGTGTGACGTTTGCTATAACAGCAGCAGTGTCGGTTCGTGGGCAACGCAGGAGCCGTGGTGGCCAGAGACCTGGGCTCCCCTCGCCATGGGAGTGTTGAGTCCTGCGCTGTCCACAGGGCATGAGCCACCCCTGTGCCAGGGTCAGTGTTTGGACTGGAGGCCTGGCCACGTGCCCCAGGCAAACGCAGGGCGGCCGTGACGCTGGGCTGTGGGCGTAGCAGTGTTGGGCTGGCCGGAGGCAGCTCTGCCACCCGCTCCCCTTGGCTGGCACCAGCGGGCCTGGCTCAGGGCAGGGGTGCCCGTGGCTGCTGGAGCTGCAGCCCCTCCCCGGGCCGGGGCCGAGTACCAAAGGAGCGTCTGCGTCGGCCGCTGGCTGCCACGGGGCGGGGGT